AGAATGGACACATACTGTATGTGCACCTTCTCACTTTGCTCATTGTGAAAATGCATTTGTTTACCTTTTTCTATTGGAGGCAAACAAATCGGTCACACATTTTTTACTTAATTTTTCTCTCTAATCTTTCTCCTTTTTGTTAAACTTTGTTGTGGATGCACGCCCTGTGTCTTTGTCCTGGTGCTGTTGGCTGTTAGTGGGAGTCTTGGTTTATTTTTTAATGTGCCTGACTGGATGATTTCTAATAATCCTTCATTTTGTGAAGGCTGAAATCAACGAAAACTGATACAAACAAGCAACTCAACTGTAAATAACATTGATATAGTATACAGCTTAACAATTTAGACCTGCTTTGGTTGATTCACATAAATAACATGACAGAAGAACGGACATGTATGATGTGCAGATTTTACCGTGGGTTTGCATTAAAACTTAAAGATGAGGCTGCTTGCTGTACGTCTAAACCTTTTTGTCCATATGTAAAGCAAATAAACAAAAGCTTAAATTTATGGTTTTCTGGCAGCAGAATCTAATCTAAGTTTTTCCGAGGTTTAATGCAGTTCTGAACAAAGTTTTAGGTATTTGAACTCACTGTTTTATTGCATTTTGCCCGTTTCACCACAAGTGCAGTAGCTCATTTCTTTCCCCTCTGGTTTGCTCTTTAGATGACATTTGAAAAGGTTTTACTTAGCTCTGAGTCTACCTCCCATTTAGGTTTCTGAATATGAACTAGTTTGTAAAAATGTGTGGTTGGTCATCAGATTGAGTGAATGATAACATGCTTTAATTCCTCTAAAATTATGACTTGTTTTTATTTCCTATCAAAAATATTAATTAATGATCAAGACCGGATGCTTCTGGAAGTGAGTTGAAAAAAACTGTGGTAGGGAAAGGATTTTTCTGTCCATATGAGGGGCTGTGTAGAATAATGAAAATTTTATAGTGCGATTTGAGATGTCAAATTCAACGCTGGTCAGTAATCTTTAGTCCTCCTGGGAGTAATTTTAATTTTAGCTCTCTGTTGGGCTCATGGGCGTCTCTTTCTCACTGTGGATAGAAACACATCAGACAAATATGAGACAATCTTTACCTTTAAAAAAAAGGCTGATCTGGTGAAGCTCATGCACAGTCTCTTCTCGGTTCAGTCTAGCTTCTTTTCTTTTTTGCTGCTGTGGTTGCACTCCAGGTTTGATAGTCCACCTGCTTTCAGGAGCATGAAGAGCCCTGACAGAGGACTGACTGACTTCCTGACCTTTGTTGAGAGACTTAAAGTGATGGACAGGGCTTTTCCTGCAGGTCAGATTTTCCTACCAGATTGACGTTGGCTCCTGTCTGATGAGCAGACTCCAGATCTGTGTCATCAGAGGGGAAATAAAGTTAGCAGGAGTTTAGAAGTGTACCAGAACATGAAGAGAAGCACGGAGGGTGAATAAAGGAATGTTGCGTTGGCAAGATTTTAAAGGATAGCTCAGATTGTTGTAAATAAGTGGGGTTCTGTGGTGAGCTCAAGGAACAAATGAACAGTTGATATATTACCTGCTGAAGATATCTCTTTGAACAACCTGTTTGTAGAATTTCAATTTCAATTCAACCTTTATTTATACGGGTTAGTCTCATTGAGCCTCGAGGACTCATTTACATGAGAGTTTTAAACAAAGATGAGGTACACACAACAATAGACTATCATAAAAAGCATATACAATGAAAAAGTAGAAAAAAATTATATAAACTAAACAAAAAACTGCAACATTATAAAGCAGTGTAACATGCTAAAAACTGGAACATGTCTGCGTTGGTTTATGCCATGAACTTAGCAGTAGAGTGGGCAAAGTTGTCATCACTCTGTTAAAATCAGGTCTCTCTTGTAAATGAGTCTCAATGGGACCAACCTGTATAAATAAAGGTTGAATGAATGAAAGTTCCATCCATCCATTTTCTTCCGCTTATCCGGGGTCGGGTCGCGGGGGTAGCAGCCTAAGTAGGGAGGCCCAGACTTCCCTCTCCCCAGCCACTTGGGCCAGCTCTTCCGGGGGAATCCCAAGGCGTTCCCAGGCCAGCCGAGAAACGTAGTCCCTCCAGCGTGTCCTGGGTCTTCCCCTGGGCCTCCTTCCGGTGGGACGTGTCCGGAACACCTCACCAGGGAGGCGTCCAGAAGGCATCCTAAACAGATGCCCAAGCCACCTCAACTGGCTCCTCTCGATGTGGAGAAGCAGCGGCTCTACTCCGAGTCCCTCTCGGATGATCGAGCTTCTCACCCTGTCTCTAAGGGAGAGCCCAGACACCCTGCGGAGAAAACTCATTTCGGCCGCTTGTATCCGAGATCTCATTCTTTCGGTCACAACCCAAAGCTCGTGACCATAGATGAGGGTGGGAACGTAGATCGATCGGTAAATTGAGAGCTTCGCCTTTTGACTCAGCTCTCTCTTCACCACGACAGACCTGTACAGCGCCCGCTTCACTGCAGACGCTGCACCTATCCGCCTATCGATCTCACGCTCCATTTTTCCCTCATTCGTGAACAAGACCCCAAGATACTTGAACTCCTCCACTTGGGGTAGGACCTCCTCCCTGACCCAGAGAGGGCACTCTACCCTTTTCCGGCTCAAGACCATGGCCTCGGATTTGGAGGAACTGATCTTCATCCCGGCCGCATCGCATTCGGCTGCGAACCGCTCCAGTGAAAGCTGTAGATCACGATCTGATGAAGCCAATAAGACCACATCATCTGCAAAAAGCAGAGACGCAATTCTGAGGCCACCAAAACGGATCCCCTCAACACCTTGGCTGCACCTAGAAATTCTGTCCATAAAAGTTATGAACAGAATCGGTGACAAAGGGCAACCTTGGCGGAGTCCAACTCTCACCGGGAACAAGCCCGACTTACTGCCGGCGATGCGGAATGAATGAAAGTTGAGGTCAAGAAATAGTTTAATTCTGAGCGGACTTGTCTGAGCAGGGTCAACACTTAAGTGGATGGTAAATGGTAAATGGTAAATGGAGCTTACTTCTATAGCGCCTTCCAGCCCCCTATGAGGGGCCCCAAGGCGCTTTACAGTACCAGCCATCCACCCATTCACACGCACATTCATACACCGGTGGCGGTAGGCTGCCATGCAAGGCGCCATCCAGTCCCACCGGGAGCAACTCGGGGTTAAGTGTCTTGCCCAGGGACACAACGGCACATGGTGTGGGAAGTCGGGATTCGAACCTCCAACCTTCCGATCAGAGGTCGGCTGCCACTACCACTGCACCACGGCCGCCCACATGGCTGGTGTTTTAAAATAACTCCAATTATAGACATTTGCCCTCATTTTTCCTTTCTGTTGTTTTTCCCCAGCCAAAAATACTATGTGCTATAGATAGGGAAGGGAAGTTTGAGATCGTCATCACTGTATGTTCCCATACAATGGCAAAATTAGTTCTCTGCACCTGAGATACACCCGGGTGGAGCAGTGGGCAGCTACTGTACGTAAGCACCTGGGGAGCAATTAGGGATTAGACGTCTTGCTCAAGGACGCCATGATATGTGGGCATGGTGGGAAGTTGAACCTGCAACTTTCTGGTCCCAGGTTGGCTGCCCCACCTTTATTCCATCTCAGCCCCAGCCCCTAGCTGTTGCTGCTGCCATTTCTGCTTGTAAGTAACCAAATAAATCTACATAATTAAATGTACAGCAAAACAGACAGAGATGTAAAATAGTTTTCACGTGATGTGCTGGCAGCCTCCACCACAAAGTGTACAAGACCAAAGTTTTTAGGCAGGAATTCCCTTTGGTCTTGGTTTTGCTCAGACTAGCAAATAGCTCATCAGTCCAGTAGAAGTGAGCTCTATTTCATCAAACTAAGTTAGTTCAAAAAAATGTCTACAACAGGTAAGATAGTAGTTGTTCATAATCTTCCCACAGAATCAAATAAAATATAGACTTCACTTGCAGTTCCTAATGTTTCCTCATAGCGTTTACGTAACTTTGTTAAAGCCTCCATATCAACACTACATGTAGCTTTTGAAACTCACAAGATTTATCTGGTATTTTTTATATATTAACACATTTATTCAGATATGCTAATGCTGATTAGACTCATTAGAAACTTTTGTCCTCTAAAGGTCTTTCCATGTGGCAGCAAAATCATTCAGAGGTTAAATGAGATGTCTTTTCATTCACGTCCTCAGTGTTAGCCAGAAAAAAAAAAGACAGAAGGAATGAAACCTGGCATGTTTTAAATGATTCAGGGAGGAAGGGATTTTTACAGCATCTTTAGTGGTGGCACGGTTTCTCACCGAGTCAAATTATGAGTCTGCAAAGAACGCAGTGTGATCACAGTGCAGCAGAGCAGATGGAGAGCTCTATCCATTCCTGGTATCATTTATAGCACGGGGGTCTCTGATATTTCCAGGTGCTTGTTGTGCCTCAACAATGAACGATGAAAGCCCTTATCTCTGTTTTCTCTGTAGATCTGTTAAAACACATACCTACAGAGATTATTTATTCTTTACATCTCAAAGATGTGTGTTCGCAGCTTTGGTTCACTCCAGTCGGTTTTGATTTCACGCTTTGCAGGGAGAGTTTAACTAGTTTTTTTTTTTTTTTCTTCTTTCTTTTTACAGCGTGTTCTTCATTTCTTTTCTTTATAGGGGATTACTTCAAATAAAATTACAGGTCTACGGGATCAGCTCCTGCTGGGAGTTTGATCCTTTCTGTTGGCAGCCTGAAAAGAACAAGCAGGTCCCAACAAGTGGTTGAGTCTCTGTGGAGGGGTGCTGGGCATGTCAGACACCAAAAGTTGGCATTCGATGCACTGAGGATTAGAACATGTGGAATGAGTTTGAACCGTTTTAGCCCAATTCACCATCTATATATTATACACATACTATATATTACACTATATTTAATGTAATCCAAACTCTCAAGTTTGGTTTGTTGCTTTAAAATCTGTGTAATCTTTGTGGTGGAATAGAGATCAACTTTATTTTTCTTTTGTCCTGCATTTTTTACATCACAGTGCAACCAGAAGGCACAAAGGAGGGCCCCACCTGCATGGACAAGAACCACGGCTGTGCCCACATCTGCAGGGAAGCACAGAAGGGTGGCATCTCCTGCGAGTGTCGACCTGGATTCCAGCTCACCCGTAACATGAAGGATTGCAAATGTAAGTCATCTCCACCTAAAGGGTTTGGTTGCAAACCAGTAAAAACATCAGAGGGGTGAGTGGTTTATGGGCTCCTCGGGAAAAAGGTGATTGGGGTTTGGGAATGGGCTGCTGACGGATAATCACACTCGTTCCACACATGTCTTCCAAAACAGGTTTGTTGCATCGCCAAGCTGTGACTAATCTTCTTAAGAGTCCTTGTAAAGAAAAACATGTTTTTCAAGTAAGGAGGGATCATTTGCACAACCAGAGCGAGTGCGGAGGTTACTCGAAGAGGCCTGCTCTGACGGACAGCACACACTTCCTGTTGCTGTGCAACAGAGATCATCCTGTCAGAGCCGGGACCTGGGCTGATGGGGGATTTGTCTGTGTTTGGTTAAGGATTGGAGAAGTGTTATTCTATAGTTTTTTTTTCATGACAGTGCTGGAAAAGGGCAAAAGGTGTTGGGATGGTGGGGTGCAGACAGAATGACGATGGAAGCCTTAGCTCCATCGCAGTCTTCGTCACGCTGTCATCACAAGTGTGTGAAAGAAATTAATGCTGGTGCCACATACCTCTACTGACACTGGAAGAAATGAAGGTGCAAGCTTAAAAATGTACATTTTCTACTCTCTATGTAGCTGAATTAGTCGTATGTTGCTTCAGAGTCTGCAACCTGTGGCTCTGGAGCCATGTGCAGTTTTTCAGAATCTCTGAAGTGGTTTCTTGTAACTTTGACTTAAAACAACATGAACTTTAGCCGTTTCTGTTTATTATTTCATATCGAGAACAATACTTTCAGCGGTTTACATGTCCAAACATTTTTATAATATATACTCGAAGTTTCAGCTGCAGAATGACTAATAATATTAGTAGATTGGGCTTTGCGTGTGAGCTCAGTAATTGAGGTTTTTACTAATACCCAAAACAGTCATGACTGAAATGAGCAACTCCAAGACCAACAATAAATTTAACAGTGTTTATTTACAATAAGTGAAATAATCAAGCAGTAGAACTGCAACCCGGGTGAGAGGGCCTGGAACCCTGGAGAGCAAGGATGACAGTTAATGTGGGGACAAGTACCGTATTTTCCGCCGTACACGTCACACTGCCCTATAAGTCGCATCAGTCCATATTTGTCTAATAAAGTGGAAAAATCCATAAAGATGTCGTTTTGCCATATACTTCGCATCTATTATGCGTCACCACTGATGTGTCGCGTTTGTTACGAGTCACCGCTGACAACCTGGAAATGTGGGCCAGTGTTGTGCCAAAAATGGATGGGCTGCCAAATGGCGGCCGTGGGAGCGTGCACGGGAGGACTTTAACAAGAATTTAACAAAATTAACACTTAAAAACAATTATTTGTTTGCTCAAAATTATAGTAAATGTGTGTCTCAGTCTAACGTTTGCTTAATAAATGCACTTTTGATGGTCAAATCAGCTGCATTTCAAAAGCCAATACGCAGAAGTAAATGCGTACACACGACGAGTCGCTGTGCAAATTTAACAAGATAAACACCTAAAAGCAATTATTTGTTTGCTCAAAATTATAGTAAAGGTGGGTCTCAGTCTAACAGTTGCTTAATAAATGCACTTTAATGGTCATATCAATTGTATTTCAAAAATAGTTTTGCTGCCTCAGTGCTCCGTGAACGCGCATAGGAAGAAAAAAGTAGGAAGAGCACGGCTCATTTCTTCAAAAATTAACAAGAAAAGAACCTAAACAATTATTTGTTTGCTCAACTTTATAGCAAATATGTGTCTCAGTCTAACATTTGCTTAATAAATGCACTTTAATGGTCAAATCAGCTGCATTTTGCCGGTGCGGTGCAGCTGGTTTGAACGTTTCAAGCAGCGAGCAGAATGTAGGAGGGGAGATTAAGGCAAGCTGACTGAATCATTAATAGCTGATGAAGCTTGTCAGTCATCCAGGACATGGTAAATTCAAAAAAGGTCAAGAAAGAAACAATAAAGTATAAAGTATAATTAGTAAAGTCCAGTTGTTTTTGTCTTGAACTTTTTTGAATTTGTCATTATAGCCACGTTTACCTATTACATGATACAACGGTATGCCATACTGCTACTACTACTCTCCTGCCATCAAGTGGCTGAAAGTGGTACTGCTCAATTTTTTTTTTCAGTCAGAATGAATGAAAACGGTCATATCTCAGCCAAAAATTGGTTTATAAATATAGGAAAAAATCCATAAATTTGTTGCTTGGGCCTATAAGTCGCAGGGCATGTAAATTTTGCAAAACACTGCAACTTATAGGGCGGAAAATACAGTAGTTTTCCAGGTGGCTCTGATAATCTCTAACTGTAGGAGAAGATGGTTTTTCTCATAGAGATGAAGGTCCAGTGGTTCCAGTAGTTGTCCAAGGAAGTCCTAGAGAGATTGCAGGTAATCGGTGGGCAAGTGGGGAAGTCAAGGAGCAGCTGAAGAGAGCACTAAATCCACAAGAGAATCGAGGAGGTCCAGAGCGTAGGAGTACAGGCATATGCTGAAACACGCAGGAGCAAGGAATTAGTGTGCAATAAGTGCTGGGAACACAAATGTGGCCAAGAACACAACTATCGGTAGGTAGACAATGAACCAGCGTCGGAGAGAAGTCATCACTGCCATTTATACTCCTACTGCTCATCAGGTAATGGTCTTCAGGTGTGCGCCTGTTGGCACCATCTAGAGTAGAGGAGCTGTAGGAGAAAATATTGGAACTCCTACAATAATGTTTTCACAGAATTTATAGACATGCTGTATCTGTTATTAAAATGTATTTTTTTTTTCCATTATTAAATACCCAAACTAGCCAATTATGCCTCAAAGCCTTACTACAATGAGTTTAAAATTTACTGATCTGTTTTATTGTTGCAGGTGTAGATTCATGACATGATAAAAAAGAAGAAAGAAACTCAAATCAAATCAAAAATTACCTGGACTCATTTAACATCTTACCTCGCCATCAATCTGGTTTCAGGAAACAGCACAGCACAACGACTGCTTCACTGAAGGTTCTTAATGACGTTGTTGAAGCACTGGATGCTAAGGATTATTGTGCTGCACTTTTCTTAGACCTGTCCAAAGCTTTTGACACTGTGGATCATAACATCTTGTGTCATAAGCTCTCAGAAATTGGTTTCTCAGATCACACTATTGGATGGTTATCTATCTCTCAGATTGGAGGCAATGTGTTCAATATAATGGTACTTCCTCTGGTTATTTAACAGTCAACAATGGTGTACCTCAAGGCTCAGTCTTAGGACCCACCCTCTTTACAATCTACATAGGTAATGTCGGTAAAAACATCCCTGATGCATCCATACATTTCTATGCTGATGACACAGTTTTTTTATTGTCGAGCTAAAACAGTTGATAAGGCTTTCCAGCTTTTGCAATCTGCATTCAAGATAATCCAGTCTGATTTGTTCCACCTCAAACTTGTCCTAAATACCGGCAAGGGATGCTTTTTTCAAACAGGAAGTCAATCCCAGCAGTTCTTCCTCCAATTTTATCCTCAAATGTGTCCCCATTGAGTTTGTTGATTCCTATAAATCTTCATCAATATCTTGGTCGACTCGCATCTCTCTTTTAAGCTCCACGTGGAAAACCTAGTAAAGAAACTGAAAGTTAAATTGGGTTTCTTTTTCAGAAACAGATCCTGTCTAACTTTGAATGCTAGGAAATGCCTTGTAACTGTGACTCTCTTTCCCTCCACTGATTACGGTGACATTATTTACATGAATGCTCCTACAAGCATCCTGCAGATGTTGGATGCTGTCTATCACGGTGCACTAAGATTCATAACTGACTGTGATTATCGTACCCACCACTGCACCCTGTATTCACTGGTTAACTGGACATCATTAACTTCATGCAGACTCTCTCACTGGTACATTTTCATCTTTAAATCACTTGTTGGTCTGCTGCCTTCATACATTTCTTCCTACATGTCTCTGTGTGAGTGCAGTTACAGCGTGCGCTCTCAGGACATTATTACCTGCAGTGTTCCTTCAGTGAGGACTGAACTTGGCAAAAGGACCTTCTCCTACTCCGCTCCTGTTTCCTGGGATACCTTGTAAAAAGACCTGAACCTCTTGACCTTGACCTCTCTAAGTGGTTTTAAGAATCTGTTGGACTCCTGGCAAGGACCAATGCAGACATGTTCCTATTTTTAGTTTTCTACATTCGCCTTATAATCTAGCTGTTTTTGTTACTTTTTTTGCCATTATATTTGTAAAAAAAAAAAAAATCTGTATGCCTTTTTATAACTGCCTATAGTTGTCGCTGTTATCCATTGTTGTCATCATTCTTTGTTGAAATCAGGTCTCTCTTGTAAATGAGTCCTCGAGGCTCAATGGGAAATCCAACACTGTCTAAATAAAGGTTGAATAAATGAAAAAAACTAAATTACAAACAAACTGGATTTCTGTCTTGTAGTTGGGGACATTTTGCTTCCCATGCAGAACAATGAGGTCATATTTTGTGTTCAACATGTTATGACACCTATGTTCTCCAAATCTACCAGAAAATTCACACTTTTGAACAAATTGCTGTAAATGCAGAAATGACAGTTTTGCACATCTATCAGGTATTATAGATTTGAAGGCATTGACATATGGCAGCAAAGAAACAGCTAGTTTAAAAACTGTGAAAAATAAAAAAATGGCCTGCATCTACAAAAAATAAATAATTAATTTAATTAAATAGGATTTTAAGTATATAAAAGTAATGTTTTTTTTTTATTGTTTGTTTTTTTACAACTTTAGGCTGCAGTCGTGTGCTTTAGTTTAGAGTGAAACTTGTTTTTCTCTTTTTTTTCACAAATTTGTTAAGGACTCAGTGAGGTCTTATCATTCTAATAGGGATGTGTCAATTTCTTGTGTACTTTTATAATTTTTAATCTTAACGTTTTAAATCATACAGTTTCACAACCCAGCATAAACTGCAGTTCTTTAAGATTTTTTTTTTTAAACTCAAGTAGCATTTGTGACTCAATACAAACTTAGTAGGAACGATAGTTAAAACGACTCTTAAACACTTTAATTGCAGACGCCTGTTTGTAGTAAACAAGCAAACAACAACTAGCTGCCTTCAGGCCCAGGCCTCCTGTAAAAGAGAGCTGTGTTCTCAATGGGTTTTTCCTGGTTAAATAAAGGTGAATTAAAATAAATAAATAAATTGCACAGTACCTAAAAAGTACAAAATGTTTGCTACATTTTATTCTTACATTGCAGAATTTTAGGAGTGAGTTCAGCAGCTTTCTCATGCTCCTTTTGCTAGAACGGTAAAAATGGTCTTCAAAGTAAATAAATAATAAACTGTTACCACAAGGTCTACAAGAATAAATATAAAATTATCTTTTCTGGTTTTACTAACTTGTCTACATTGATTATTACCATGTGAGCTGCTTAGTGTAGGCAAATATCAACCAAAGTAAAAAAAAAAAAAAAAGTGTTTCTTTGAAAAATGCTTTACTTTAAACCCTGCTGTGCTGAAAACTACTTAATATAGTACATTTTACATTTTTAGTAAATATAACATGTCATGTTTTACTGGTAGATTTTGTTAAGCTGAGGGAAAAAAATAAAGTTCCCATTTTTTAATTTTTTATCACATTTTTGAGTACCGTATTTTTAAGACTATAAGGCGCACTTAAAATCCTTTATTTTTCTCAAAAATTGACAGTGATCCTTGGAATCCATTGCGACTTATGTATTAATTCTGGTTGTGCTTACTGAACTCGAACCAATTTTATGTGGTACACGGCGCTCAGACATCTGTAAATGAACTTGTTTTGCTTAATGCGCCTTATAATCCGGTGCACCTTATGTATGAAAACAGACCCGTTCATTGACATTGCACCATATTGTCCGGTGCGCCTTAGAGTCCGAAAAATACGGTAATAGTATTGGGATTTCTGTACAAACACATTTTTGTTGAGTTTTTTCATGTTCTATTACATCAAATGAAAGATTTTTTTACATTCGTATCTCCTGGAAATTTTAAATGGATAAAGAGCAATTCTGGCCAAGTAAAAATAAATACACCGTTGATTTAATGAACTTTTCCATAAACCTTGAAAAATGTCCTATAATGAACTCTTGATGGTGGTTTTAAAACATACGGTAGATTTAGTACTTGGATGTTGAACATTATGCACAGCTTTGGATCTTGGTCAAAACCTAAATGCTTTAAAGAGTTTAATAAAAAGCAAAAAGGCTGTGTGGTGTCCAAAGATCAGTTTTCAGTTCTTTGATCGCACCAAACGCTGTTTAAACATCGCAAACTTTAAATCTGACAACCTTCAGAACATCTAGAGTTCAGTTTACTGCCTGGATAATAAGTCTGAGCTGTAAGTTTTGTACTTTTAATAAAAACAACCGAATGTGTTTTTAGGTCTTGTGAAGGACTGGATGCAGTCTGTCCAACTTCACATTGGTTACAGGACGTAAAGTTTGACCCAGAGGAAAAAAACAACTAAATCTGTCTCTGTATGTCTTATTCACCATCTGCTCCCCTCCTGTCACCTCCCCACCAACTGTCAAGATAAAGAAACACCTTTGTGTACTCCTCGGTAACTACAGCCTGTGTTAACGCTGCGTCTTCTGACAGTGACGTGCAACTACGGTAATGGAGGCTGCCAGCACATCTGCGAGGAGACGGATCACGGTCCCAAATGTTCCTGCCACGTGAAGTTTGTTCTACACAGCGATGGGAAGACGTGTGTAGGTGAGTCATGTCACCCCGAGTCCATTATGTCTTGTCAGGTGCAAGACATGATGTCATTAGAATAAAGAAATGCAAAACGGTTAATTAATCATTTGAACATTGTCGCAGAAGCCATTTATACAAAGGAGACGTAAATGTAATGCAAAATATAAAAAATAATGTTATTTTTACAATTTGAGTTGTTTCTGTGAATAATAGTTTGTTAGTGTGTTAAATGAATAGGATAAATAACAATATCTGAATGTTATATAAGCTTATTACGTGGTGCATTTTGATTGACTGCTGAATTTGTAATATAAAAGCATGAAAGACGTCAGCAGAGAAGAAGTCTTGCACCCGACAGTAACACAGTCTTTTGACCGTCATCTACTTTTTATTTTGAATGATTGTTTAGTATTTTTTTAAGCTCAGTAAAGTCACAAAATGTAATTGCTGGATTCAAGACTCTTATTTTGAAAAATCATGCCCCATTCGAAAGAGCTTTTTGGATGTTCGGCTAGTGAGGGCTTGCCACACTCACACTTTAATGTGAAAGTATGTAAGCTGAGAAACAGGCTTTATTGCTGCAAGTGTATTGCTGATCACGTTTATTGATCCGTGACATACAAGGCCAAAAGGCTACCGTCCACTGCGCACTTCTTCTTCTGCTACTTGAATAACCTCTCCAACCCTGCATTTGCTTTTGCTTCTCTTTCCTTCCTCTGGCTCTTTGCTGGACGCTGTGTTTTTTTTCCTCTGGTTTTCTTAGTCTTGCCAGAAACACACACCTTCTATTAGCCCCTGGGTCATTTCCTCCATGGCTTCCTGTCTGGGATTAACTTACACACCTGACCTAACTTTCCACCGGCATGTATCAGTGTTTGTCTCAGTTGACTGAAGTTGAGTGGAAATCATTCAGCCACTCAGGCAGATTGGAGCGTTGTAAAGGGCACTTCTCTAATCAACTAGCACAGAAAATTTGATGCACAGGTCTCAGAAGACATATATTTAGCCATGCAGAAAAGCACTGATTGATTTAATTGATAAATATGGAAGATTTGCAATAAACTCGGCCAGTTTTAAATGTGGCACAAACCTTTTAATTTATCATTTATCTCTTCTGATTTCCAGAAGAAATATCCATGGTTTAATGTCCTTCCACAGCTACTATCTCAAATATGTTATTGTCGTTCTTCTTGGAACAAATGAGATCACGTTTTGTCCCACATCACAGAGCGAAGAGAGGAATTGGAAATACCCACCGTCCGTCTTGTGAGCTGGATAACTTAGAAAATAAGCAATGTGCCATCTTCCATTTTGATGTGCGGCTACATCTAGGTGTAAGAAATGTTATTATAGAAAATAAGGTTGCCACGTCAGAATCCAAGATGGCCACCACCCTATCAATATGTAAACTGCCCACCCCATCACATGAAGAAACTATGCTTTCTAGTTTTTATATTGCTTAAAATTATACCGTAGTTACCGGTACCTCAAATAATTAAGATGGATGAAGATTAAACTACAGTGGTCAAGGCCACCATTGGCCACCCCCTGGCTCCACCATTGCACCTGCCGGTGAATAAAATTGCTCCCTCCACTCGTCCGTCACTCTACGCTGCCTTTCTCCACTAAATATATTGCACCAAAAACATTAAGGTTTACTTGAATTCCCTGTTCAATTTCAGTCCAAAAGGACACGCATCTCAAAAAATACAAACGTTTATTATTCAGATCCTTCAGCGATGATGGATATCAGCGCACCACTTGTCCATTTCAGGTTTATGGCCTCTCAGCTCTACAAATTATTTATTCCCGTCCAAAATTAACATTTTGAATATCTGACAGAAAAAAAACCCTGGAATTTCAAAAATCTACATTCTGTTGTTGTTGGTAATGTTTTATTAGCTATCCAACATGAAAGCCATTGCAGCTATCTGTAATATAGTTTTCAACAACTAAATTTTGTTTATATCTAGTAAAATGTCATTAGAAATATAATGTTTTCATATTATGACTAGTTAAAAGGCAATGTGGATATCAATAATTAAAATAAGGACTTTAGCAACAAACATCTAAAGAGATCAATGAATATTTAACAAATTCAATAATGTCAAATAAGCATAAAATAAGGGGAAATAAGAAAAAGGCTTAGCTTTCCTTTAGGGAATACATATCACCAGCCTCCTCTTCAGAGTTTAGGACCAAGTTATTATTATTATTTTTTTATTATTATTTTTGAGAAGTCATTTAAATCAAACCCTAAAAATAACGGTATGCACAACCTCAGACTCAGATTATGTGGTGTGAACGACTCAACTACAAATGAACCACATTTCATCATTGTATCTATAAAATTAACTGAAATGTAGCTGTTTGTGTTTTGTAAGGTCAGTTGGCTGTGGCGACCATCTTGAAATGTGTTAGCTCCAAAAGTTAATCAATATGTTCATCAAAATGTTTACTTTCTGCAGTGTTCATTAAAATTTATCCAGTAGTTTGTGAAATATTTTGGTGACAAAAATACGCCCAGACAAAATCTTCGCCTGGCTTTGCCGCTCGATGGCAGGCGATGAAAGTGGGAACATTTACAGCGTAGAGGTCTGAAACTTCAAGTTTCTCTACTGAGACTTTTATTACAAATATCTGCAGCATTTAATCCCAGTAACTGTTAAAATATTATGCTAAATGTTTAATACAAAATAATTGTGAAAACAAAGTTTTTGTTATTTGTTAAAAAGAATGACATTTAAAAATCAGACATGATGCAGAGAGAGACCTTCTGAATACCAGAATGAATCTTTGTGACAATAAATAAATACATTATAAATGTACGCTACACATGTCTAGTGCAGCCTTTTATTGTTAAAAATGTTCTTTCAGATATTTTAAATTTCATATCTGATTAGTAAGATGCCATTTTAACAAAAAAACTATTATCAATGTCTGTAGAATAGTGAGATTTACGAGTGTGGGATTATTAAATGTTACAAAGGTCTGCCATACTAGGCCCTCAATGGTATCTGTTTATTCGCCTAACGTGGCACTGATAGTTTTTGCTCATAGTACAAACCCATTTCATTCAGAGGACAGGCTTTAACGGCAACTGGAATGAGTTGGATGGCAACATTTTTTTATATAAAGATAAACAGAGGAAAAGTTTGGATGGTTTGCAGTGGAGCCTGGAGACGTTGTCTGGTTTCGGTGGCTGTTAAGTTTGAGAGCATGGTTTGAGCAGTGCCCGTTTGGCTCAGTGTTTCTGGATCCCTCTCAGAACCACAGCCCCCGATGAGAGCCAAACCCATGTCAAGGTCTGGTCAGCCAACCTGTCATTATTGCTGTACCCCCGCAGGACAGGAGGATACCGCAAAGTCGGCCTCGGCCAAATTATACGTCTTTGCCAGAACAAATGCACATTTGGTGTGCCAGATTATGAAGCAGTGAGCCAGTTCGAACCTCTGATTTCTCCTGCAGAGTTTGGGGTTTCAGCGGTGGAGGAAGCGCTTCTTGGCTGCTTCATTTCTCTAGACTCCATATTATTCAATAAAACGTCAATAAAGCAAGTTGATTAAATCGGTGATGAGACGGAGGCTGACAAGAATGATAGAAGTCTCGAAAAAAGAAAAATACCAGGAATATCTATCAGAAGCTTCCAAGTAAAAAAAATAAATAAATACAGACTGAAACTGTTTCTTTAATAAACGATTTAAAAAAAAAACGGAAGACATTACAGTTTGGTGTGTCGGGTTTTATTTCCTCCAATTATCCATCTGGCAAAAGACATACTAACAGCTAACTGTAATTTTATTTCAACAACTCCCTAAAACAAGTAGTCGCCCAAAGAACAGAAGAATCACAATTAGCCACAAATCAAAAAATGTTTGTTACGCATTTTTGTGATGATAACTCTGAGCGGAGACATCCAGAAATAGAAAATGATCCACAGAAGGTAAAGTATATCATTGGAAATAACATCAAATGTAAAAGATAACTCTTGACATGTTTATGATTCATCTTCTTTATCTGGAACAACACGTCCAATAATAACCAAACAGCCTTGGCCGCTCTGCATCGTTCAGTATGCTGCAGCTTCCTCCTCAGCTCATCTGTCATGGTGTTTTATGGTTTCTGAACATTTTTATTCATTTGTTTTGCTTTATGATGAATCCCATGTTGTAATTGGTTGCATTTTACTTTTGTAAATAATACTCCATCTGCATCTCCGTTTGAAAGTACTCATTTCTCATCTTTCCTGTCTCTCCTCTATTGGTGTTGGTGTGGAAATATAACAGATTTGTAACTAAAAGCCTCTTTACTATTCATAAAATGTCATCTCAGTCACACAAAACAGCCTCTTTGAAGTTAACTTTTGGTTTTTTTAACTGCAACAATCCCGAAAACAATCTGGTGGTGTGTGGATCAGGACGTTCAGCTATCGTGAAGGAGCAGCTGTCATGTGGAAGCGTTTACGCTGTTATCACAGCAAATCCTAAACAGTCACAAATAGCTGGCAGATGAAGACATGCTCAGGAGTTCTGAAGAGCGAGCCTCACGATGCAAGGCAACACACGCAAAGAGCACGAGAGATGCATTTTATAATTCAAACTGATAGATGTGCACACAGTCATACACACATACAATTGCGTGCATGCATCACATGCATGTAAACACGTGGATACTGCGGGGATATGCCCGTAACATAAACACATTGCTCTCATGTCGGGTGGTCTGTTCATTTATTCTGTGTTCTCATACACCTCAGTGTGGTCTCTTCTGTTTCTGGACTCTGTCTGTTGGGTGACGGACATCCTGGTGCATCCTTTTTGCAGCTCATGGAGGCTCTGCATGCTTTGAGGTTTTAGGCGTTTGTACTTCAGCGTCTGTTTCATCACCTGGTCCCTGAAAAGAGCCACTCGAGGACGCCACAATGACAATTAGCAAACCCAATTTTCAGTTATCTGGGGGAAGTTACAAGGAGCGGCTGTTCATTAGGTGTAAGTGTGACGTTTCGCATTCTAAAA